ATGCAGCACGCGCCTGTGCCTGCCGCTCAAAGTTCGCTCACGCACGCACACGCGCACACCAGCATGCACACCACAAATCCATGTCCACACACATGCCAAAACTGCTCATCAAGCTGGGTGGCCCAAACCCCCAAACGCGCCTCCTTGACCACCCTGCACTCCCACGCGAGCGCACGCGCACTCGCACTCGCGCACGTGCACCCACTCAGCCTCATGGCGTATGTGGCCGCATGAACCTGTGGCCCTTCATGAAGTGGACTATGGCGCCAGACGGCCCCAGGAACATGAGCTTTATCACTGTGTCGTAGCTGAGGCAGGGTTGTATGTTGGGTTGAGGGGTGAGGGGGGGAGATGAGGGATGAGAGCGAGCGCTTGCAAGTTGTGAGTGATGGGCCTGTGAGCAAGCGCTGGCGTGAGCGCTAGCGCGCGCGCGTGTGTGTGCATTTGTGTGTGTGTGTGTGTGTGTGTGTAAAAAAAGAGAAGGTGGGGCAGATGGCATGTTGAGGGTACAGGGAGGGAAGGGGCCAGGAGGGAGGCGAGTCGGCAGAGGGGTGGGAAGAATAAAGAGAGGAGATGGCGGGAAGAGGAGGGAGTGACGCGCCTTGCTGCGAATGCGAAGGCCAGAGGGAGGGATGCGCCGCCGCCAGGACTGGAGCGCGTGGCTAGCAAAGAGCAGGGCTTGGGCCGCGCGAGGCCGGCCCGGTGCACACAGGGAACTGTGACCCAGCAGGGCGGCGCCGGGCGGCGCGGCGCACGAGCAGCCTGCCCGTTCACCCTACTGGAGGCGCGGCGCCTGCTGTGCCGAGAGCAAAGCCTGCCATACCCCTGCACGGGGAGCGCGCTTCAACCCTTTCAACACCCATGCAGTCACATGCGTGCCGGGCCACCCGGGCCGGCGGCGGCGAACGCGCCCCTGCACTCACATGGACACAAATGCGTGACTAGGTCGAGGTTGCGCGTGACAAACACCAAGAGGTACAGCTCCAGGGCTTTGAGGGAGATGCCTGGGCAGGCCGCGGCGGCGGCGGTCGCGGCGGTGGTGTGGTGGGCTGCACAGTGCTGGGGCCCCGCTGGACCTGGCGTGGTGCCAAAAAGCGGGCGCGCTGCGGGACGCAAGGGCCGAGGCGCCGATGTGGATGGGAGGGCCGATGAGGAGGCTGAGGGGAAGAAGGGCGGGGGCGACAGCGGGGAGGACATTAAGGAGGAGGAGAGGAGGTTGCGCCGGGCGGCTAGCGGCGGCTGGGCGGCCACCTGAGGCAGCAGGCTGGGCTGCACGTATGCAAGCAGCACGAAACCCGCCAGGGGGCTTGTCGGGTCGACGCGCTGCTGGCGAGGAGGGGGGTTGGGCGTGCAGGCGGCTGCGGCCTCTTGGCAGACTTGGGGTGTGCAAGCGGAGCGTACCGGCGCCAGGCTTCCAACCCAGCACAACCAGCAGAATGCCGACCGAGGGACAACGTAGCGCATGCCTCCCAGGGCCGGCAACATGCCCATTCCTTGTCTTCCACGAGTAAAATTGCACCCCCAAACCAAACAAAACCTCGCAACTGGACCCACCTCGCATTTGGCGCCCAGC